TTCTCACACATATGCATGCCCTATTTGTTTCTTTGAAGAAACATTTTTTGAGTTACAATTACTTCAATTGTTTGAATTTTTGGTATTCACAGGCTCTAGTAGAACCTTTGCAGAAATATGCCAGAGGACCATTCAACCCTTCTCTATCCTCAGAATTCATTCTTGTGAAGTAAGAAATGCTAGAAATCCAATATGAACTCCAAGATAAATTCGAATTCCTTTATCCCAATTCAGTAGTTGACGCATTCATTCCAACAACCTTAGACAACTTTGTTTTCAAAATCCACACTCGTGTAAAATGATTTTTATAATATACATCCAATTACCATTTCATTTTTCAATTATGTTTTAAGTGGTCGACAACGTTTAATTATGAAGTGATTCCCAACACACCACATGCGTAGTTGAAATTATTCAATAACATAAGCAATTAAGAGCATTTAAAAAAGACCATAATCAGTTTCCTTTAATTTTTTTTTTGAGTCCAACCTTCACAGATATCCGAGATCTGTAAAAATATCAAATGAAAAATTACATTGGCAATGACATTTTATATTTCACATACAATATGTAGTGGAACACCGTTGGCTGTATTGTTCATTTAAGATATAGATAGATGGATTCATCATCATCCCTTTTCAAACGAAATTGTTCTCGTTAAGAACGGAAGAATTCAACAGTTGCAGCCTCAATCTACCCTAGTACCATTGAAGAGAGTCAATCCCATTCAAAACAGCGATATCTGGTATTGGATTCTGAATGCAACTTCTTTTGGATTTTGTATCAACAAGATAAAGTATTTCAATCGCCTTTGGAATGCGAGAATATTCACCCATTCTAGAACAAAAAGATAAGTATTTGTTTCGGCTCTGTGACGAGTAGATACTCCTGAAACTACCTACTCGCGATCAAACAACTTCAATCGACTGAAAATATTTAGGTGGGAACTCGGAGATAAAACAAAACTCTACAATCTCACGTTATACTGAATGAGAGCAGATACCTCATATCGGAAAATAGCAAAGCCTAAATACGTGTTTTGGGATGGGTGTCTCTCATGTGTCTCACGTGTACCACAGGGTTCTAATTGTTTCATAAATGTTTCAAATTCATTTTTGGCTGGCAGTTTACAGCCAAATTGAACCTATTTCAGATTATCAACAGTTGAAATCTGGTATTGAATTGGTTCTTGATTGGTACTTACGAATACTATTCTGATCATTCCCATATTGATTTCAATTTAAGAGCCAACGGCAGACAGCTGTTTCAGCCTATTGGGCATCGTCAGAATAGTGCTTATCTATTTATCTTTTAATTCATGAAATTATTTTCCAGCAGCTCGACTGAATCAACTTTTTTGGGAGAGAAACGTTTTTTAGAAAAAACACTCTTTGGCTTTCTCCTTCTCCATCATTGAACAAAAAATTTGAGAAACTTAAACTTTTGGTTCAATGATGGAGAACAAGAAAGCCACAAAGCATTTTTCCGCAGAAGTCATATATTGTATACTATCCATGATAATAATAATCACACAATTGTCAAACATTTCAACGTTAACAGAATAGTTTTCTCGGTAAAAAAAAAGATGTTTTTATTGTGTTATTAATTTTCCTCAAGTAACGGGTCAATCCATTCATAATATATTGTATAATGAACCATGTTGATGATGTGTCCATAGTTTATTTATAAGTTTGTAAACATTTTTGTTAATAATTCTTCAAATATTCTATAGTTAGAGATGTAAACATTTTCTATAATTGGATTTGGAATTCGCTTCATAAACTTTTAGTTTGGTTCACCTCCACAGACCATACCTAAGATAATGATACTTTTCCGTGAATTCAACTCTTGAAAAAGTATTCGTGAGTTTCACATTCAATATTTTCATTTATTAATTCGAGAAATTAAATTCGACTGAAAATGGCAGTTACTAAATTTGCAACGAATCTCAATGTTGAAGACAACAAAATCTGGGCTGGCAAGCCGTGCTCAAATCAAACCTGAAGTATCAAACGTTTCATCTGTTACTGCAGCAGACATCAACAGTGGTATGTTCGTTGACTGCGAGGGCAAAGGTTATATCCCGAAATCTCAATCAGTAACGACTTACATTCAATAGGTCATTCATTTATTTCTGACAAAGCCGAGCTATATAGTTTCTGATTTATTTTACCGATAAATTTCTGGAGGTATTTTAACGCAGTGAAACTCACTCACTCAATGTGTGTGTACCTACTGTTCTAAAAAGTTCTCGTAGTACTACTACTTTGACGAAATACTGGATGGTGGACATNAATAGAAAAAGTATCTTCTCTGCTCCATACAACATGATGAAGAAGAAATCCGCCATCAATAATGAAGGTCACATTATTTTCATTGAGAACAAAATCAATTGGGCTCATGTTGTCATACAATGACGATTTTGTTGTTTTTTTCATGCCATCATTATCAAATAGAGCTGTTGGATACGGACTCAATTCATATTGAAAATATTCTTCAAGATTACTTTCAAATCGTTTGCTGACAGGAATTCTTTGGAAGAGTAATAATGGATCCACTGCAACTTTACAATCATTTATTTTTACAGATTTGTTAATACTGGAAAGCGGCATTACTTTTTTGGAACGTTTCAACTTCATTTCATTGAATGATAAGCCGGTTATCTTCTTCATAGACTCTAATCCAATTTTGTAAGCTCTGTGGCAATTAATTTGCTCATTTCCAACAATTCCGGAAGCTATCGATATTAACTGTGTAGTACTTGGAAAAGGATCACGGAGTTTTAACCAATCAAATAGTATATTTACGTCAGCATTGTCTTTTTTCACTCTTGAGTCTCTGGAATCTACGTGTTGCTCGGTCGACTCCACGGAGATATTACAGAACTTCTCCTTTCCTCACAAATAGTATTTGTGGCGTACATAGCATATACCCATTTGCACAAAACACTTTCGTACTTCGACCACGAGATACTCCCCCTTCGGTTTCCATGGATTTCATGAGACTTTGTTCATCGACTATATATATATGGCGCGTTTTCGACCGGAGGCACCGGTTGGCCTGGAGTGATCCTATGACCGCGAGCTCTCCGCCCTCTATCTCGAAAACGGTTCACCGTATGAAACATTTTTTCAAACAAAATTTGTAGAGAATTTTGTATTCTACGATATTGATAATAAATACAAATAGCAAAAAACTCACAGGAAATGAGATATTTACAAAAAAAGCGCAAAAAATCGATTTTTGTGACCTTTGACCTTGAAATTTAATAGTTGCGTAAACCCTACCTTATGTAGGTTTTCAGACAACTTCTAGGGTGTCAATATACAAGTATTTACAGACTTACAGCTGGGTATCTCGAATTCCGAAATTCTTACCTAATTTAAGCTTAAATGACTGGAGTAATGTTATTCTTATGTTCGGGAGCCCTCAGATACTTTTGTGTGATAACGGAGTCCAATTCACGAGCAATGAGTTCAAAAACCTCTGTGAGCGATATGGTGTTCGAATTTGGTATAACGCCCGGTATCATGCACAAGTAAATCCAGTAGAGTTGGTCAATAGAGTAGTCAGTGCTGCAGTACGCTCTTATATTGTAGATGATAAGCACAAGGATTGGAATGCCGAATTCCTGAAAATAGGTTATGCATTACAGACGGCAATCCATGAGGTTACTTGGTGCAGTCCTGTTTACTTGAATTTTGGACGGTATGTTCCAATTTATGGTCGATATTATGGTCGTTTAGATCACTGTCAGGGATATAACCTGAACCGTTTCAATAGAGAGGCCTATCGTGAAGAACTAGCCAAATTGCCTTTAGAATTTGTCGAAGTTCAAGACCGTTCAAGGAAATCATACGAAAGGAATGCCCACACCTATAACCTGAGAAAGCGTAAAGAAGATCAATACGAAGTCGGAGATTTCATGTGGAAGAAGAACTATGTTTTATCGAAAGGCTCTGAAGCTTTTGCAGCCAAGCTAGCTCCGAAAAATATATTGTGTCGTGTTCTTACATTTATTTCACCTTTAGTTTACGAATTACAAGACGTACAAGAAAGGAAAAATGTTGGGCGGTGGCACGTTGAAGACCTCAAACCTTATTTTGGTGAACAAGAAGATTGATCCGATGTGAATGCGCGAATGGATGGGATACGAATGGAGGAATAAACGTAGGATCATGACTTTATTTCACTTCAAATATTCAGTGTTAGTGAGTTAATACGTGTCATAGCGTTATCTTCCTGCGAGTTATTTCGACCTTTTGCAGCCTTGTTAATATATTGAAAGTGATACGTTTCATTTCAGTTTTGTAAATAGTTTGTGAATAGTAGGTGATAGGATAGATAGACACAGTAGGAAGTTAGTGGGTGATAGAAATATCAGAACTCATTAAAATTTCTTCCAGAGAAGAAATTTTATTGAGGAAAGGGGGTGTGTAACGGTTTAAATTTCTGAATTCAGAAGAATTAGTAGTGCCGCCCGGTAGGTTCGTTATTTTATCACAATATTGCTGGGATGGTGGGTTGTCTAGTAAGCAGGAGTACATAAAACCGAGGAGATTTTCACGGTCAGGATTTAAAAACGATTCAGGAGAGTATCTATCGTAAAGCCGACACGAAATCAAGGCTCTAGCTAGAGACCGTCCGAAACCTAAAAACATGTAATGTTTTTTGGACAAGAATAATAAGATCACCTGTGAAAGATTCACGTCGAGCACAAAGAAAAGCTTTCAAGGCATATTTATCTGATATATAATTGGAGAAATCCTTCGGAAAAGCTATAGTTGCATCATACCCGTCGTTCTTTGAGATACAAGGAGACATTCTAGAAAGTAGCAACGGAAAATCGTAGCAAGTATAAAAAATATCAAGAATGATGATACTTCGTGAGTAGAAGCCCTGAAATTGATGATACATATATTTTAGAGCGGTCTGATTACTGAAATCTACAGTTCATTCCTTAAAATTAGAGGATAGTTTAAGTTTTTGCCTTTTCTCTGTGCACCTAAGACAGCTGTTGACGGGGGTATCTAATTAATAATTATCACATAATTTTGATGAGATCATGCATTGCCCCAATTTAAGTACGGAACTGAAACCTTTTCGAAACAAGCCGAGATATTTGGATATTTATCAGTCTCCTATCAAGGTTAATTCACAAGTGATTGATCCACCTTCTTCTTTTTCAGTGCGGTCAGTGGACTCAGGTCGTTCTTGGCCCCAAAAAATGAGTTGCATTGCTCGTAGAACTGGTCCCAATTCAGTGGAAGCGCTTCTTGAAGCAAGAGCCGAATCGATCCCTCTACGAAACCCTTTTTCACTTGGAAGGATCGATCGCAGCTTGAGAAATGGTTCTTATGGAGATTCTGTGAAACGTGTTCTTCCTTACGAATCAGTAGGTAGTTGTCCTGAAAATCTAGAGAAGAAAATTGGATTGGATAATTTAGGAAACACTTGCTACATGAATAGCATTTTACAAGTGTTGTTCATGACGAAGAATTTCAAGAACGAAGTTTTAATGATGAACGAGAACGGGAATGTTTCCTGCTTATTCATCAAACTCAAACAACTGTTCATGCAGCTGCAGTTTCGTAAGAAGGTATCATCTTTCCCTCCAACCGATTTCCTGGAGTCTTTGAAGTCCACTAGATACTCGTTAGGACAACAAGAGGATTGTTCCGAATTCTTGGGGTTCTTGTTGAATACTCTTCGTGAGCAAAACAATAGCAAAATCAATACTCCCAGCCGCTCTGGACTGAATGATTCCGTACAACCCATCTCGTCTTGTGTTCGTAAATCTTTTGCTGGAAAAATCCTCACTTGTTTACTTTGTGGTAAATGTTCAAGAAGTACTGAAAACTTATGTGAATTTCTGGAACTTCATCTAGCTTTTCCTAATACGACTAATTACCAGTCCGTGCAAAGCTTATTGTTAAATCATCTGAAAATGGAATTTTTAACAGGTGATGATCGACTGTATTGTCAAACATGCGCCAAACTAACTGACTGTTATAAGGAAACAAGTATAGCTGAGGCACCAGTCAATCTAATAATAACACTGATGATTTTCAAACAAGACTCAACCTCTAACGGAAGCAAGAAACTGTTTGGAAGGTTCGAAATAGATGAACATTTCAACCTAGCAGACCACTGTTATAATATTCATGCAGTCATTGTTCACTGTGGTTCTGGCGTTGAATGTGGTCATTATTACGCCTTGGTCAAAGAAGAAACGAACTGGTTTAAGTTTGACGATAGTCGTGTCACGAAGTGTTCTGGCGATGCATTGAATTTATTGGAGCCTCTGGAGACACCCTACATTTTGTTTTATGAGAGAGAGGACATTGTTAGATCAAAATATTCAGATGATGTGGTGCTGCAGGTTTTTCCGGGTTTTCCTGCAGCTGAAAAAGCAAATGCGCCACTGGAATCAATGAAGTCGCCCCGGAGCGCCAATTAATTTTTATTGTTGTATTTATTTTATTTTTATCGTTGTTTTAACACATTGTTATAATTTTACAAAACATAAATACAAAGAGAAATTCATTCTCTTACTAATAATTATCGAGTTTGATTGTAGTTAATCGAAAAGTAGATTCTGGATAGATAAAGATTCAGACTCATTCATTACTCATTTGTTCCCTCACTTTCAATTTATGTAATGATCATCTGTGTCCGTTCATTACTGGAATATTTTGATTCGATATTGTTCCATGATAACAGTAGTAATAGCGTGATCAAAACGTATTATTATATTTAATCGAAACGTTTGTTTTAGTATTACGTTCTTTCATTAAGTTCTTTAAACTTGATGCATATATTATATATAATATATTTGATATAATTCTCAAGCTTGGAGCTTCGTTGTTGACTTTTTGGCTATTTCTCCACCCCTTTCCTGTTGAATCCGTTCAACTGGCGCTCCAGGGCTTACTTTCTTTTCCATCTATTTCGACTGTAAAAAAAACATATTTTCCTTACCCACGTCCAGCCCCGACAATAATCGACTAGCCTGGGCCGAAATACTTTTTGGTAATTACATAAATACCAAGGTAGGATCAAATAAAAAATTACAGACCTATAGCATTACTATCAAATATTAGTAAGATTTTTGAAAGAATCATATATAATCGCCTTATATCCTACCTTAAAAATAATATGTTAAAAGGTTACGAAGCCAATGAGTTTACATATCATATGTTCAGCGATAATACAACACAATAACAAAGAAAGTGATCGTGGTAAAGGCAATTCAAAATATTTCTATTGCTGTATACATTACGGCAGACTTGTCGAGAGTAATCAGTTTCAGCGAGAACAAGAGAATTGATCTAGCCAAGTAATTGTGAAGTGATATATTGAAGTATACGTGTTTTTGATATTTCAGAAATATTTGTTTTCTGAATGGCTGATGATTGATGAATTAGGTTTTTCACGTTACTTCAAAAATATTGAAAATACAAAACTTACCGGATGATCACCAGTCACCATAACCACCCTGATACCGGCACTTCTGCACCTTTTTAGAGCGTCCGGAACTTGAGGTCTGGGCGGATCGATCAGAGACATGAAACCGACGAATCTGAGATCTTTCCTGGGAAAGTTCGGAGGTTCAGCACAGAACGGGTAATCTTTGGTGTAGGAGTTGTCCAGCATCAGATCAGCGAAGCCCAATACCCTTTCCCCCTTTTCAGCTAGCTCCGTCATGGCTTTGTCGCAGAGGATTCTCATCTCGTCCGTCATTTCCTCCGTTCCGTTAACGGTGCACATCTTTGAGCAACGCGCTAAAATGCGTTCCGGCGCCCCCTTCATCACTATGAGGCAGTGACCTTCTTCCATGGCATGAATACTAATCTGAAATAAAACTCGAATAAAATGGATGTTAAAACCTCGGTTACAGCAATAAACTTCAGCAATACTTCATATTTTTCACTGTTCTTCTGATGTCGTGAAAGAAGTGAAATGGCAGAGGCGAAATAAAGAATACGGGCGTCAGGGGCGGCCCAGTTCCAACTTTTTTATTAGGGATCCTGCCACGTTCATATTTTATCACGGTACTTTTGACTGAAGTAAAATGAGTTTCGACCTAACCCAGCCTAACCTAAGCCTTCAGTTACAGAATAGATTACAGGATTTACTGGTATCACATATGTCTACGTCTGAGAAACCATTCAGTCGAAAACACACTTCAACACTTTCTTCGGATTTCCACTCATATTTTCCTTTTCGGTTTATTTCAGCTACATAGTTCTACTTGATGTAGCTGAAAATAAGATTCCTACAACTTATGTTCCAAGCCTTTGTTTCTAGGTCTACAAGTTTCGAGGATATCCAGTTTAAAAAAATCGCACTTTCTGGAAATTTGTCAAACTTGCTATACATCAGTTATAGCCTCTATTGAGAAAGCAACTATCAAGATCGAACTTATACAGTATAATTTGAACAAACCTGAAGGAAAATAATGAACCTGAGTAAAAATGGGCGATGACATATTCTCTTCTTTTAGGATAGTTGAGTCCAGCAACTCAATTGTGGTTGAGCCGAGCACCAACTGATGAGGTACATCGCGGGTCGAAACAGCGCTACCTGCTGTTGAATCATAAATGCCTTTTTTGGCTTTGGTTGTCAGTGGAAACTGCAGTAAAGATCAAGTTTCGGCGGTCGATGTATAAGCTTGGCTTTGCAACTGACCCCCTTGGGAAGCCTTGGGAGATTGAGTTCTCCGTCGATTCCATAGATGAAGTTTTCGTAAATTTAAGGTCTTTATCAACAGGTTCCACACAATTCAGAACAATTTGCTCAATGAGAGACTTGTCATTATTGGTCTGGCTAACACCTGGCTTTATCATGATATAAGTTCAGACATATTCAACATACCAAATTATACTATCATTCGTACAGATAAGAATGGCAGAGGTGGAGGTGCAGGTTTATACATATACCTATAGTAACATAAACTATAGATTAATTTTTCCCAATCTTTAGAAGAACTTTGGATTGATGGTAAATTTAGAAATAAAACTTATATAATAGGAGTTATCTACCCTCCTCCGCAAGTTAATATTCTCCAATCTCTAAGTTGTATTATCAAATAAATCGACATTCCAAAGCACATTAAATACATCTCTTCAAGGACAAAACACAAGCACTACAGGAAAATTCTTAAGGCGCCGTCAGAGCGTTTGATATTAAATCCATTTGGAAAAACGTTCTCACGAAGTTTATTCCAGATAAACGAAGTTCTCAAGATGAAAGAGTTCTTAAACAGTGAAGTTTGAGGTGTACTGAGTTGAACCTCAAAACGATGGTGCAATCAAATATGCCAAGTCACTTGAACACCTCCCGTGAAAGTATCTATAGAAGAGATACAGATCTCCAATCTTTCTTCAATGTTCCAGGCTATCAAGGTTGCACGTGATGGAATCCAGCAACTTCTGGGTATGTTTGGGGCAGAGCTCCATACATGAGAACAATACTCCAAACAAGGTCTGATCTGACCTTTATAAAGCATCAAAAATTGCTGAGGAGTGTACAGCTTTCTGGTTCGTAACAGTGTTCCAAGCTTTTGAGAAGCAGCCTTTGCTATTCCTGTGACATGATTGTGCCAAGATATAATGGTGTCGATTTTAACCCCCAACAAACTTATCGAAGCAGAAAGCGGAATTGTCTGACCTGACATTATTATATCTGGTCCAGAGATGTTTATCTTTTCGGAGAAAACCGATGCCAGGGTTTTCGTGGCATTGAATTGAACCTGATTACTTTTATCCCAATTCTAAATCATATCTAGATCCTCATTAAGATATGCAACCCCTTGCCGGTGAAGATGTGTCTCCGTAGCCGATGTCCTGGAATCCAAATGGAATGACGAGACAATTGTGCTATAGTCAGCAAAGCAATATATTGGATACTTAGTTTTTTCCCATTAAGTCGTTGATATACAATAAAAAGGGGGTTGGGGACAATATGGATCCCCGGGGACCACCAGCGTTGGTGGTGAAAGTATTTGAGAGATATCCATCGACGCCATATTGATGATCGCTCAAGATCTGGAAGCTTTCCAAATATTTGAGGATATGGTGGTTTACGACTTTCTCCAAGATTTTTTTTTATATCATTTGGAAGATTTTTCTTGGCTGAACGCGAGCAATCTTCCAACAAGAGGAAAACACCCCTTTCTTATAAGACAGGTTGAGTTCATTTGCGCACTTTTTGAGTACGATGACGGGTACTACATCAGGTCCAGACGCCTGGTTTACTAAATTTGACTTCAATCTTTTTCAATTAGATCTCAATCTCATCGACTGGAATCATATTCATACTTTATGAAATTCTAATGATGCATTTACTTTTCTGTATGATAATCTTATAGCCCTTCGTAATTAACACGCTCCGGTTAGAAGAGTTAGAACTACTAGACGCCTAACCCCGTAGATGATACCACCATTAAAGAAATGATGAAGATCAGAGATATAGTCTTGACCAACTGACTTCAAAGACATACATTGGTGTCCCTATAGCAAAAAAAGCAATATTCCGTTATTTTCAATTTTTCACCCCTCCCTCCTTTGTAGTGTTGCTTGAAAAAATATTGGCGTTCTGTAGTAATTTAATTTTTCACTAGTATTATTCTGATACCTGTTTCCCTAAGATAGGCTATAACTGAAGTACAACATTGTACAACAATTTGTGGACTGCCAATGTTTGTCAGTTTTTCAATATAGTGTCGAACATGAAGGAGAGGGAATTGTGCATTTTGCTTTTTATAAACTCTTAAGGTGGCCCTAAACGATCAATCTGCTTGTTCAAACGATTGAGTCAATCGATTGACGCGCGCTTCAATCAACTGAAATCAGTCTTTCAATCTTTTGATCAACATCTTCTTCTCACCAGAAATGGGACCAGTGCACACTTGTTGTTCGTTAGCTGGTTCATTTCAGTGAGCCTCGATGGCCCTGAAATCCCTGTTGAAATTCGGTCTGAGAACATTGATTTTTGCTTTCATTAGCTTCACAGTTGAATCAGGTTTCAGCACTTTCAACGCACCCACGATTTTCTCTAGCGATGCAGTTTTCTTGTTTCTGTTGTGATAATCCTTGCGCTTCACTTTCCATAATTCCGAGCAATCGCGATATAATTCAATCAACAGATTAATGAATTCCCGCTCAGAGTTTTCGGGAAGCTCGCTTTCCGTAGCGGACGCCATGGTTTTCACCTACTGATTGACGCAATGCTTGACGAAAATTGCCCTAGACGGTCAACCTCCTCCTTCAACCGCTTGAGTCATTCAAACTTTCTATCAATCACCATCAAGCCTCGCTTCAAGCGTCAAACAGGTTCCCACACGGACAATCACGCTTGAGTCAATGGATTGACTCAAGCGTGTTAGGAATCACACGTGACCCTGATAGGAATCACACGTTAAAAGGTAAGACCTCGTTAGTCCTTAGCTCGCACAGGTTTCTCAACTTCTGAGAGTTTTCGTTCGTTTGGGGGCGACAGCTGATTAACGGAAAATCAGATTTTAAAACAGACACAACAGATTTTGATCAAAATGATTGACCGTCTAGGGCCTTCTCTACTAATGATCCTAGATGAATTATCAAAAATTGGAACTACCAGACCTTTCCTAAGTAAACCCCTCTATTTCTTGAATAAATTCAAAGATGTATTCAAATAATTTCGAAATAGAGAAACAGAAAAACACTTCCGAATCAAATACTTCAGTTCTGGAACTGGAGAAATACTCTCGAGTTACCGTCGGTGATTTAGGGGCATTAGTGCCTTAACAATTCAGAGCCAAAATTTTTCTTATCGAAATTACAGAATGATGAACTTTTCACTCGAATCATAAGTTACTGAAATATAACAAAAGTTGTATCAGTATTTGTTCGAAAATGCTCTCAAATTCAATTACAGAAACAGCTCACAAATAAAAACAACACTCACCTGATACTTTGTAACGGAACTGAATGGTACTTCCAGTAATTTGGGATGCTTGTGTCGAAATTCGGTTGGATCACCATGAATATGACTAAGCTCCACAAATCTCAAAATAGCCTCCTCAGAAGCATCTCCACGAACTAATCTCGTCTGAATAGGTTTGTTTTCCTCGCCATGCACAAATTCAGCTCGATTGCAGAGGGTAGCACAACGCATCAGGGTTAAGAAACCTAAAATATGTAGTTGAAATCAAAGGTAAGGCATTTCAAGTGTTATGCAAATACAGACTGGTAGATATTCATGATACCAGTAAAACTCAAGATGATGAAAAAAGATTTTCAGAATCATCAATAGGTGACTATTAGAGCAGGCGTTTCAACATCTTCTATGAACGAGTGGAATTAAAATTGATTACCTTCTGTTTTATTGTAATCTCTGGCGCTCTCTTGCTGGATGCTGGAATCAGCGTTGATGATTTTGTTGTCACACCAAAAATGACATACTGTCATTTTGTTTTGAGTGAGTGTCCCGGTTTTATCCGAACAAATGATGGATGTCGAGCCCAATGTTTCGACTGCTTCCAAGTTCTTCACAAGACAATTTTTCGCAGCCATTCGTTTTGCAGTCACTGATAAGCACACCGTTACCGTTGCAAGAAGACCTGAAAAGTATGAGTATTCACAGTTTGATTAAATATCTTCTCGGTTCACATAGACTTTTTTTAAAACTTATGAATATGTAGCAATGTCCAAACGATTTATTAATCATATTTGTATTTCCGGTGTAATTGACAACGCCGTTAATTTGTTTTATGGTTTAGAGTTGTAGATTTTTCATTTTCACACAAGCATTGAGAAAGGACATTTTCAAAACCCCCTCTGGAGAGGGGGTTTTTATGAGCAATTAAATAAATAAATAAAATAAAATAAAATATTTATTATTCCTTTCAACTATTGTTAACAATAGATAGGATAAGTCAAAAACAGTGTCATTAAGTTTTAATTGACAAACAGGACGAAACAAGCACAATGATGACTAACATAGACTATGTAAAATACACTTCGATATCATCTCAAAATTGAAAAGTATAATTCAAATTCCTCAACAGTATAGAAACATTCTCTGATAAGGAGTTCCCTAAGTCTATACTTAAAAAACCGCCGGGGATCCCGCGTATTTTATTTCGTTCGGAAGACAGTTAAAAAAACGGCAGCCTGCATTGATGGGAGATTTTTTGTAATAGGAGTGTTTGGGCTTGTTCAATTTGATATCATTTTTATTTCTAGTGTTGTAAGAATGTGAATCACTATTAATGGGAAATGCATGTTTGTTATTGAAAATATATGTTAATAGTTTCATTAAATAAATTGATGTAACCGTGAGGATCCGTTTAGTTTTGAAAATCTGTCTGCATGATTGGCGACTACTAATGTTGAAAATAAGCCTTATGATTCTTTTCTGAGCAACAAAAATTCTTGATATGTCTGATGCCTGACCCCATACTATAATATTGTAGGAAATTGAGGAATACACAAATGCATAGTAAACCTGTAATAATGAATCTGTGTTCAAAATATTTCTTAGTGTTGCCAAAATATAAAAGCTTTTGTTGATTTTTTTACATACTATTTGTATTTGATCCTCCCATGTTAGGTTACAATCTATGAGCGTTCCTAAGAATTTAGATGAAGTGGAGGTTTCAACAATATTATTATTGATTTCGAAGGTGAAATTAGAAGGTATTCCATGTTTTGTGTGAAACTCAATTATTACTGTCTTACTTTGATTCATTATAAGTGTATTCTGCATACAGTAATCCGCAAAATCTTTCAAAACTGAGTCAGTTTTTTGCTGTAGTCTTTGGCGATCAGTGTCAGACACCACAATAGAGGTGTCATCAGCATACATGAAAACTCTACCGTCCTTTATGTTATGAGGCAAGTCATTGACATAGGTAAGGAAGATCAAGGGACCCATGACACTTCCTTGCGGTGTTCCAAGATCTAAATCGTATTCCTTCGATTTGGTTTCACCGATTCTCATGATGATCTTCCGATCTTCAAGACAGGACGTTATCGTAGACGTAGACCTAGGTTGTTGATTTTTTCGGAGGCGAAATTACGATTAACCGTGTCGAATGCCTGCGTTAGATCAAACGACATGACAACTACATACTCATTTTTGTCCATCAGATCATTAATGTGTTGGACAAGTTCTGTTATGGCTGTTTCGGTAGATAGGCCAGGGAGGAAACCATGCTGGCAATCAGTAAGTATTTTATGCTTTGGGAAGAAATCTCTAATTCTTTTGCAAATGATTTTCTCAATGATTTTGGAAAATATGCTCAGGAGAGCAATTGGGTGGTAGTTCTCTATGTTGCTCGAATCACCTTTTTTGAATATGGGAATGATGGCAGCCGATTTCAGAACACTAGGAAAAGTGCCTGAATTCACTGATAGGTTTATAATGTCAGCAAGATATTGTGATATAATACAATTAGACGGCGTAGCGATGGGAAGTCCACTCAGCTCAGTGATAGCCAACTTCTTCCTGGAGAAATTGGGAAGAAGGCAGTCGACGCTTTCGATTTCAAACCAACCATTTGGCTACGATACGTGGATGACACCTTCGTTATCTGGATACATGGGAGGGACAGATTGAACCTATTTCTAGACCACATAAATGCTCAACACCCTAGCATCAAGTTCACCATGAAGACTGAACAGGAACAACGAATAGCTTTTCTAGATGTACTCGTCGAAAGGTGTGGCACAAGACTGACACATAAAGTGTACCGAAAACCGACACATACGGACAGATATCTGCATGCACTTTCAAACCACCATCCAAGTTATTACCAACACCCTGACAGAACGTGCTCGTAGAATATGTGAACCGGTACACCTACAAGAAGAATTGGAGCATCTTCAAGTGGCTTCAAGATCGAATGGATACAGTGTAACCGAGATCAATAAGGCCATGAAACTGAAGACTTCTACAATTCAAAATAGGGAGAGAACTCAAACGGTTACACTTGCATTTCTACCCTAACATAAAAACAGTGTTCAAGCCCACCATACAACAAAGTCTGAGATCTGCGAAAGACAAAAGAGATCCATTATCAGCGGCGGGGGAATATTGTATACCATGCACGTGAGGAAAAGTTTATATCGTTACCATCAAAAGATTCATGGGTACAAGGCTTAATGAACATCGGAGAAATTGTATATTAGGTCAAATAGAAAAATTGGCAGTAGCAGAACACGCGTTTAGTGAAGGAGATCATACGATACTGTTTGAAGATGTGAAACTACTTGCACCCGATCATGGATACCACAGTCGGCTTGTACGGAAAGCCATAGAAATCCATAAACAAACGGAAAACTACAACAGAAAAGAGAAGGCGATAACGCTTAACCGGATTAATGTCATCATCAGGTAATAACACTTCGGCCAATAGCAATGCATCAACAAGAAAGGCAGGCTACCTGAGTAAACACAAATACAACTTACGAACTAGAAATCGTTAGCACTATTGACATCGCGCTAGTACAGAACGTCGATACTACGGAGATGTCAGTACTAGATGAAGGTTCGTCAGACCACAACCCCATCCTATTCACAATAGGAAGGGGAGAAGTGGAAACAGATAACCCAACACAGCGAATCATAGACTGGACAAGATTCCAGCGAGCCATACACGACGCGCTGGGTGAGATACCACGCATCGAGACAACAATAGATCTGGAGAACGCCACGGACCAGCTTCGGCAGGCGATCATACAAACAACGGAAAGAAGCGCGAGGGAAGTCCCAGCCACGCGCTATAACTTCCAAGAGCACCTTCCGCCAGAAACGATGGAACTAATCAGAATAAGAAGACGCCTGAAAAGACAGTACCAAAGAACACGTGCACCGATGGACAAAAGGTGCATGCATAGAGCAAACAGAATACTGAAAGGAGAGCTGAAAGCAATCCGAGAAAGACAGTGGACCACCCGTCTGGAGGAACTGTGCACAGAAGATAGATCTGCATGGCAAATGCAGAAAAAACTCAGAAACGGACCTCGACAACCCTGCCCATCAATACATGGCGAGCAAGGAATTGTCTACACTGACCATGAGAAGGCGGAAGCATTCGCGGACAACTTCGAAAGGCAGTGCAAAGAGAATGACGTCCCGTTCACAGACGAGGTAGAAGAAATAGAAAACCAGGTGGAAAGGACGGTACGGAGGCTTAATCGACGGACAGATAATGCGCAAAACCCTTATCACTCGGAAAGCACCAGGCCCAGATAATATAACAAATCGAGCACTGAAAGTGCTGCCACGAAAGGATATAGCATCCATAACCAACATCATAAATGCTATACTCAGACTGCAATACTTCCCGTACCAGTTCAAAGAGGCAACGGTAATCCACATACCAAAGCCCAAGAAGAACCACCTGTTTCCAGCGAACCACCGGCCAATAAGCCTACTGCCATCCATAAGCAAAGTGGCGGAACGCGTCATCCTGAAGAGACTAGAAGAACAAACCAGAGAGTTAGGGATCCTCCCCGATAAACAATTCTGTTTCAGATCAGAACACTCAATAGAGCTAGAAGTCCTGAGGGTAGTGGACTTTGCGACAGAAGGCTTCAACCTTGGCAAAGGATACAACACCGGAGCTATCTTCTTAGACGTCTCCAAGGCGTTCGACAGAGTTTGGCATGACGGGCTACTAGCCAAGATGAGCGATTTTGGATACTAAAAACCAATGGTAAGATTAATTCAGTCTTTTCTAGCTGACAGGCGATGCCGCTGCAAAGTAGGAGACGAATTATCAACAGTTCGACTACTGGAGGCAGGAGTCCCGCAAGGTGCAGTTCTTTCGCCACACCTCTACTCCGTATACACGGCAGACGTGCCCAAGCCAGAGAACAACTTTAACAAGTTGGCGCTCTACGCGGACGACACGGCCCTGCTGGCGAGATCTAGGAGTCAAGCACTCGTTACGAGATACTTACAATAGCAGGCAAACAGATTAGAGGAGTGGGCTAACCTGTGGAAGATCAGTATCAACCCTGACAAAAGTCAGGCGATAGTGTTCACTCGCAGGTTCGTACAACCGGAAGGCAACGTCATCTTCAACGGACAAGAGATTCCGTGGACAAACAAAGCGACATATCTCGGGGTCATCCTAGACAAGAAACTAACATTCCAGGACCACGTACAGCAGAGAACAGGAATAGCCAAACAGACCAGAAGACGCCTGGCGCCGATCATAGGAAGAAGTAGTAACATGGCACTGAAAGTCAAGCTACTAATGATCAGAACGATTCTAATGCCAATAATACTGTATGCATGCGCTGCCTGGGGCCAGTGTGCGCAGACATACAGAAAGAAGATCCAATCATTTATGAATGCGAGCGTTTGGCCGCTGTAAATGCACCTTACTATATACCAAATAGATTCATATACAGAGATCTAGACCTGGACACGCAATATGTGGACGTGTATATGAGAGAACATGCAGAAAGCACGTTCGATAGATCAGATCGCACTTAAATCCAGCGTTCCGCGATCTACACGATGCGTTGAACATGGATAACCCCAGGTTCCGAGAAAGGGACAAACATCCAAGGCCGACGAAACAGAACCAGAGACCACCCCTACGAGTAGCCGTAAGGCGACTCCGGTAAGTACACTAATCAGATTTTCTTTCAGCAAGTTCACCGCAGAACAACTCGACCGCGATTCTAGTATTCTTATAAGGAACGCCCGACATTAAAAGTAAAGCCGCCGGTTAGTTTTTGGGGGCCCCCATGCTTACATTCAGTTAGGAATAGAGAGATAAAATAATAATTCGATAAGAAGGTAAAAGCACCTAAAGGCTGACTTTCTACCAAAATGAGGATAGATGTCAATCTTGCTGAAGTGCCCAGCAGTAAGTTGAGGACCACTCGGAGAGCGGGGGTGGAAGGAGTGGGGTAGTAGGTTCTCCTCGCTAACAAATGAGGGGGGAAGCTCCTACTTCAGGGCACTCAACCCGAGGGGGGCATGGGGGGAAATCGTTAGTCATCGGTGAACCATCAAGATGAATAAACCCCTGAAGAAACCAGCCACTCGTGCTGGCGAACGTTAGAATACAGTTCCAAACCACGACGGCCTTCAAACCCGAATGAAGATCGTAACAATGAAAATTTTTATTATTAGAAATGAATAAGACCAATTTTGAAATGAATCAAAACAGTTATCACAACTCCGTAGTAAAACAAAAGAATTTATTATTTTGACAATTTAAAGTAAAGCATTATTGGCATACCCCGTTTGTTATAATTATTGTCGTTTCATCAAAATGTATGAGTGTGCATTTTTTATGTAAGGGCTATAATTTAGTCACCACTGTAATATCTACGGGTTTAAAACTGAGTCACCAGTGAAATAATACGTCATTAACTGTCTATCAACCCTTGATAACCCTCTCGCTATTTTTTCGTGTTAGCTTTATTTGCTTGAATTTGGCCTCCTGCACAAAAAGAAGATCTTTAGTTGCAGACGAAAAGACCTTAACGAATTCGCGGACATTTCCTTCCAAGAGGTTACTATGGTAGATTTTGAAACGAAAGCCTTCTTAAAACCTTCAAAAGATACTATATTCAATAGTAAAGACAAAAAGTATGCAACAAAATAGACAAAGAAAAACACCCAAAAAAATTAAAGAGAATAACCATTACCAAATCTCGAAATTAAAACTCAAAGTTAGTGCCTTTGCCGGAAATTACTATAATATACGACAGTGACGAAATACTCTAGCTTGGCCGATGATTTCTGACCGCTAAATAACTATGACGCAACTATTAGGTCCGCTCTGTATATAAGTTTATTATAGCTAACTCCTTCCCAAAATCATAAAATGGTTAGTACGCAAGTACATTCAACTCACCGCTGCCTTTTTCCCGCTCGTCCCTTATTTAAATTTTCACTGCTCGATTTCCGCTCGAACCTTACACACTTCTTTATTCCTACGTCAAAATAAAAAACTATCCAAAATCGCGGTAACCGCCTGTTCATCAAAATATTTTATAAAAATTCAAAGATTCAAACCAGGAAAACTATCTCCTGTAACAAAATACCGCTCTTGACCGACCGTCAAGAGAACCCTTTAAACTCCAAGTTTTCGAACCCTCCTCAAAATTCACGCAGACTTAATTCCAGAAAATTTTCCGCACTACTGCCTTATGCAAAGATCTTCCCGATCTCTCTGTCCTCTCTGCCTTTTGAAAAGCCAGGAAGAATTCACGGGTTCCTCGTCCCCCCCGTTTCCCAAACCGTTCCTCGTAACCGTCGTCCACGTGCGATGAACACGCCGATGAACTTTGTTTATATAAACACTCTCTTGGTCTTGCCATGATGTTACATTGTATGAGACACAGAACCGGCGTTTAAGAAAATTCTGAATTAAAAAATTCTGTCTCTTCCCGAAGCTAAAATGTATATTTACCATACATAGCTTCTGCTAGGTAATACACTCTATTTTGAAGAAGTCCACTATATTTAAAACTAATCTTCCGTTTTTTCTTCCCTTCCTTCAGAAGACTTCGAACTACTTCAGATCATCTTCCAAAGAATACCTCCAAACTTTTGTGTCCTCCGCTGGCTCTCACTAATTACAAAACAGATAATTTCTTTCTTCAACCTTTGCAAGTGATTTGCGTCTTCAGACTCTTTGCTTATTACGTAATAATCTGTTTCATACTACGAATTCTTGATTGATAACTACACTATAGATGTCCCGACCTGTTGAAGTAATATCTTTTGCATTTGCCTTGTCTTCTTATAAAAATATTTGTTAGTGAAATCAGATGGTTCTTTCGATTCCTTCTTGATGTCAGTATTCTGGAACTACCCGTTGAATGTAATCTCAAATCGTGAAAGAATTTTCCTGTAAGACAGGATTAATGATGAATAGCTTCAATAACAATTGATTCAAGATTCCATTCAGGGTTCTACTACAGAATTACAATACTGGAAAATATGTTAATCCCAGAAATGTCATTCATTGAACTTTCCTTTCTGGCCTTTTCTCACTCTGCTGAGAGCTTCGACCAGCTAGTTTTACGAAAAGTAAAATCTACATTTCCGGTTTCACTAGTTGATTGAGCAAATCATCTTATTCTTCTTTCATTTTCAATTTCTGTTTGTCCTTTCATATTTTGTTGCTTTCTTGTCTATCTTTTCCTTGACTTTTTCATAGTAATCTTGATTCTCTTCAATGTGCCGAAGAACTCAACTTCAAAAACATTAAATCTTTTTCAATTATATTCCTCTCAGAAACCACTCTTCCCACCGATGTCATCACTTCTACTACAAACCTCTTTTTGATTTTTTAGATTATTTCACTTCTCAAAACGCCTGTTTAATATATTAGTTAACAATTTGAAAACTTTCTAATTTTCCTCAGAAAAACTTCCAAATCTTACCTTCAGGCACATTGGCTACGATAATACCAATCAAAAATAAGGCGGCTTCTATCCAGGAATAGTCCATTGCCAGAGCAGCGGCTCCAAACACAAAGCCCAAAAAACATGCCCAGACGCTAATGATTTTCATAAAATGTTCCAGTTCTCGAGCGATGGGCGTTTTGTTGGGTTGCAATCTGGCCGTCAAACCGGCTATTCGGCCCATTACTGTGCGATCACCAGTTTCACAAACAATGCCTGAAAAATCACACAGAAATTATTTTCTATTCATCCAAAATAGTCTTTTGAAAATTTCAATGAGAAATGCAGTGGAATATCTACATTTGGTAAGAAAATTAAAAATCGTAATAACATCTACATTATTTTTCACTGGAAATTGTTATAAATTTTGAAACACGTGTTGAAAAAACCTCAGCATCTGAAATAAAAATTGGCGAATTGTGAAGATTTCACTTTTTTGTTTTTGTAATATTGGGAGTTGGCACTTTTGAAATAAACTTAGAGAGTGTTGAAACTTTCAGTAACACCTTTTTAAAGTAATTCAGAAATGATTTATTACTGATTGACGAACTGCATAAAAAAATTCATATGAAAAATTATTTTATTATTTGAGAAAATATTAACAGGATCAATAATGTTGTCATTGTGGGCCATTGCTTCGCAAAAATCCAAAAACACGTCAAGTTTGTTTGTAAAATTTACAAGTTTGATTCCAAAATCCATTGCAAAACCGTCACACATCTAAATCATCGTTCCGCAAATTATTTTATAAGGATATAAGACGAGGTAAACCTCATTTAAAAGAACTTTTGTTTCCCTAACTACACAATCAGAAGATATAAAGCTGTGAAATGTCAACAATACGTTTTTGAAAAATGCAAAAGTTTAATGGATTATACGTAAAAACTCATCATATTCCACATAATGCACTTGCAATGTCACTTCACGACATTCATTAATAATGAATCGTCCTCGCAGTTTCTGCAATGGATTGCGACACACAAAAAATCTATAGGATTCAAGTCAGGTGAGCCAAGAGACCATTCAATTGAACCCCTTCGTTCTATTTGGGGAAGGATAACCTTCTCGTTCATCTCTGTGACATTGAAAAGATCTGTATTATGGAGTTGATCGAGGTACACATCACCAGGAAGAAAAAAGGACCCAAGAGGAATTTCCCAAAAATATCAGCTCACATGTTGACCTTTTGAGAGTTTTGTGTGTTTCCCACATAAACTGTCTCAGTTATGGCGATCAACTGCACGGATCAAAAAAGAAAATACAGCGTCTGGAAAAAACACACATTGAATAGCTGATTCACTCATAGTTTCACGAAATTTCATGCTCTATTTAGTTCTCGAATTAACTGATGAAACTTATAGTTTTTTAATATTTGCTGGGCACTTGTACAACTCCTGGCTACCTATGTAGCTTTATTAAGTACCTTATTTTATTTTGAATCGAACTAATTTCGTGAAATTTTCACAGAAAAGTACTTTCAGGATGCTGTTCGTTGAATACCTTTGTAACCCGATTTTAATGATTATTTTTTAATTGATTTCAATCATTTTACCCTCCTTTCTGGAATTGATATCCTCATAACTGATAAATTCAAATATTTCATCACAATCCACAATTAGATTAATATGGTAGGTTTTTAATTGAAAATCGAATATTGTAGACTCATCCTCAAATCCCGAGTAGCAATAAAAAGATAATCGAAAACAATTCTCAATGAGCTATTACTCGATCCCCATTCGTATAAAAATAGGGAGGTGACTTTCCTGCTTCGTGTATTGAAAGTTTTTAATCGTTTTTGAGCCAAATCTTGTCTTCCTTCCAAATTCTAACATCATAAAAAATAATCTTGCAAATAAAATTCTGTTTTAACCAGACGGTGTTCCTTCATATTGATCACAATATGTGCACTATTTTTTTAATAATAAGTTTCGAGGATGACGAGGTGCAATTGAGTAGCTTCCTCAGTCACCCGACTTGAGTTCTTCAGACTTTTTTGAGGTGTCACATGAAAATGACATATATCGCACTCTATCTGTATGACATGGATTTGAAAATAAACTTTTTTTTTATGAAACATTTCCAGCATATATGTGATCAATTAGTTCGATCAAATTAGACAAAAAATAAGAGTAAAGCTACCTAAATTCCCACCAAGCTAAAAATCAGTAAGATTGTTCAAAATATGATTAAAAATGAAATTTGAAAGTTCCCCATCTTTCTCCTGTATGGAAAAAATGTTATTCTAGGTCCAAGGTCAAAAAATGAGTTTTTGCGATTTTCAGCAAAACTGTAAGTTATATCATAAAAATAACTCTTATCTACAAAAAATGTATCAATATTTTTTTTCATCAAGCTACCGTTTTTGAAATATAACGATTCAAAAAGTTGTAACAACAAATCATTAGAACCAGTCCAAACCTTACTCCCACCTGCGCCAGAAAAACTGCTGAACACATTTTTTTGCAACTGCAAAAAGGGGTGCAGTGCTACATATACTTGCAAAACAGCCGGACTGTTTTGTTCTCTGGCACGATTCAATATAAGAGCACGACAAGGCCGGTCGTGCTCTTATATTGAATCACCATCAGTGGATGATCTGTTTGATTCCAACAAGGCGACGTGCGATACATCGCTATTAACGCAGTTTACATGTACTCAGGATGAAGATGAAGAAGAACAAGACGAACAAGAACAAGAAAATCAAGAAGAAGAACAAGAATTTGAAAGTTACGACTCGGACAATTGAATTTTACTACTTTTTTTTAACTTAAATTGCTTGTATCTTTTCAATCTCTGCTAATATCCATTATTTTTCAATAGTTTCAAATTAAACAGGATCACAACTGACCCGTGGAATAGGCCTACTATGGAAACGACGTTAACAAAGGCGCTAAGTACACTCCCTTACGGGTGGCGTGGAAACGTGCGTACCTATATCATGACGATCACAACTTTTACAACTTTTTGAATCATTATAACTCAAAAACGGTGGCTCGTAGGAAAAAAAGTATTGAGACATTTTTTGTGAATAATTTTATGATCTACAATTTTTGTTTCAAGTATTTTTATGATAAAACTCATCGTTTTGCTGAAAATCGCGAAAAACTCCATGCAAGGAAGAGATGAGAAACTTTCGAATTTCATTTCCAATCATATTTTAAACAATCTTACTGATTTTCAACTTGGTGGGAGTTTAGGTAGCTTCGAATGTCTAAATTGACCGGACTAAATACGGATCGATTTTCAAAATCAAAGCACCAAAGCTCAGAAAATCGCAAGATCTTTTTAATAAGATGTTAATTGACCCCCATCCCCATCAAAAACTGAATGTGGGGTGACACTCTCGCTCAGAGAATTGGAGGTTTTGCAATTATTTTTTGGCCAAAACTTGTCTATTTTTGGATTATTGTGAAACGTTCTTTCCCTGACAGTACTGACACAGAAATTGACCTCTCTAGATATGAGTATAGATTTGGATGAGTATAGATATATAGTATAGATACCTCTTGCTGTTCCTTCAACTGCATTAGTTGAGAAAAAGGCGAAGTTCTTCGTTTCGAGTATATTGTCACTGGAACAATCTGGACCCCGGAATTGAGGTTCCGATTCTCCTGTAAGAGCCGAATTATCTACCTGGTAAAAATATTGAAAATATAATAACACAATAGGTTACGTTTGACAACATAACATCATCATTTTTTTATTATTATTCCTAACTAACATGACTAGAAAGCATTATGATGATAATTATAATAGTTCAAGAAAGACTGTGGTACATAGTCGGTCCATACAAGGTGGGGCAAACTTGAAGCAATCTTGCACTAGAGCGAATGTGAGATTACATTTCAAAATACATGGATCAGATTTATTTTCCAGTGCAGTATCAGTTTTAGAAGTGGGTGATGTGGTTTGAAACTTGATACACGCGGCTGGCGTCAATGTGTTGGATGGTTGCTGAGTTTTGCTGTGGTCTTCTTTGGTCATAATCTCCAAACGTTTCGACTGCAACTGCGGCAGTCATCTTCAGTGGCGTGCTCGAAGTACTCTTTGTGACGTGTCAACTGTCAGTTGACACGTCAAGAAGAGTACTTCGACCACGCCACTGAATATGACTGCCGCACTTGCAGTCGAAACGTTTGGATATTATAACCAAAGAAGACCATGGCAAAACCCGGAAACCATCCAAAACATAAATGATCGATACTTGATGAAAATCCATTATGATGTAGGTATTAAAATGAAAAAATATTGTGAAATTTCCACTTGACAATTCCCAAAACCAATTTTGTGTCAAGTCCTGAAAACTTTTTGCCTGATAAATTCTTTACATAAAATATTCACTTTTGTTGAGTTTTGAACCAAATGTAAAGCGTCATAATCGTGATTGAACTTGTGTCCCTCTGTCAGAAGATGACATGCAAATGTTGAGTTGGTTTTCTTATTCAAAAAACTCGTTCTATGGTTTTTTATTCTTTTGGAGAAAGTTCTTTCGGTTTGGCCGATATAAAATTCAGGACAAATACCACAAGTCAACTTATATACTCCAGATCTATACGATATTGGGGTTTTATCTTCATTGTTATTGATGAATTTACTCGAATTATTGTTGTCTTGGTAGACCACGTCCAATTCTTTATTTTTTATCATCAAGATGCTGAAGATGCTATTGTATAGCAAAACACGTGTCGCGGTTATGTAAACTATCAAGTGGAAATATTACACGTTTTTATTTAAATACGTTTCGATACATACTTTCATGCTAATCAAGATGGTCTATCTACATTTTCCATGATTTCAGGCATGGCTTGCTTCTATGAAAATAACATATTTGAGATGACTTTTCACAATATATGCGTGAGCCAGAGAGCCGTTTCATAATACATTGGCTATGAGTGAAAATGTGGCAATTTTGCCGGACTGTGTATGGGCCGACTTGGTTTGATGTTAGTCAACGAAGTTACCTTGAATCCCTGACTATGTATGATCCTGATATCAGCTGGTATCCGATCTCCAAATTTCATTTCAACCAAATCACCTACAACTATATCCTTTGACACTATGGTCATTGTTTCTCCACCTCGAATTACAGTGGCTTTCGGGGGCACCATATTGGCGAATGATTCCATGATCTGGAGAATATTATTCATTAATTTTTTCCAAATGTATAAACTGATCCAAATAATATTAATGTAATAAATGTAATGGGTATGGAATAATCAAAACAAAAACTACGAAATCTGTTTTATTTTTCAGAAACATTACATTATTTAAAAATCACTATTCTATAGCGAATATCTGACCTTTGGAGATGAACCATGACAAAAAAATTCATAGAATCTTCCAGGATTGGCTCACTCCAAAGCATTTATTCACCCTTCGAAGCTTGATACCAAACAGTTGTTGGACTACAGTAGGGATGAACTACGATGTCTAACAGGCCTTCTTACAGGTCACTGTCATTTGAATCATCATATTCCGAGACTCGGACTGTCGGAAGACAGAATGTGTCATCTCTATTTGGAAAATGATGAAACAGCAGAGCACATACAGCAGAGCACATTTTAGAGTACGGCAGAGCCGTACTCTTACCATCTGACCTGAAAGACCACTCACCATACAAACTAATCGGCTTCGTTGAGAAGCTGGGTTCATTTGGTCGAGTGTGAATAGGTGAGCCACAATAAACCCTTTCGGGTTGCGATGGAGGGTAGAAAAAACCCACTCACTTTGGACCTAACCTAACCTAACCTGAGTTTCTGATTTATATGAGAAGACTATAAACTTTGTACCGAAGTATTTTCCGGGCCGAATATTATTTGTAGTTCTCGGTTTTCATGAAAAATATGAAACATGATTTGTTTATATCGATACAGCGAAGTTTCCGAAAAATGAATAAATGAAAAAATTTAAAGTGACTGCAGAGAGTTGAATATCCGTAAAGAATTGTAATTATGAAGGTCGAGTTACTTCTTTCTGAATAATTTATACAATTTTCAAGAAAACTATTTTTTTTAATTCACTAAAGAATATTAAATTTAATAGGTTCAGAGTAGGACATAACAACTAAAATGATGTTCATTTCCACTCATTTCTCATGAAAAAACAAACGCGTGGTAAAATTTCAATCATATAGAAAAATGGCCAATTTTATTATAGTTGAAGATTTTCTCAAGAAAATAAAATCTGAATTCATTAGATATTTCAAAACATCACAGCTACTATGAGAGTTTATAGTAAAATTCAATTTTAACATACTCGTATATATGAATATAATCAGGCTGTTGCGCCACCAAATCATACTCAGTTGAGTTTCTTACGAAAAACCTATGAATTAGTTCATATTTCAAAATGAGCTCCTACTGACTGCTGGTTCATCAAATGTTCGCTTTAGTTTTTGCAACATGTTACGCCCCTCACTAACGATCTGGACTAGTTAAAAAGCTGCAAGATCGGTGTGTGTGAGAAACTATATTCATTTGGAAAATATATTTCAGGATATTTCACACACTTCGAGCTACACAAAAGTGTGAATGAAATACTAAAAGGAATAATGAATTACGAAGAAGGGAGGGGAGGGAAACTTCTATTAACAGGTCTAGCTGGAGTTTCTTCGGCGTTCACCAGTGTTGCCAACTGGATGAACTATAAAGTCGCTACACATGAACCAAAATTCCGCTACCCTGCTTCATATTCCGCTACGCTTGTATATCTGACGCAATCAGTTTGCGCATGCGCCCTATCCGAAATTGAATACCACAGAACTTACTGTTTTGTAGTTTTTGTACCACAAAACTCAACTGTCACTGATGTCAGGAATTAGGATCATGCTAATTTTCAACCGCATAACTCAGTAGATGAGACCTAATTTTTTAAATTTACAGCAGTTGATTTTTGAAATCTGTCATCTCGACCAAATATTTCTCAACTTGAAATAATGATTTTGAAAAGTGGAAATAAATATCAATTTGTTCACGTACGTATGGTCACAAGTTGGAATCAGATAACCAATGTTGAGAAATTTTTTTTTTCGAGACCTATTGTATTTTTCTAAACATGCCTGATTTCCGTCAATTACAACTGCGGTAGCTCTTTCATTCGAGCTACAATCAGATGAACTATCTTCCATTACTACTGTAAATTGTTCCATATAATTTAGAATACTCGAGACAGTCGAGACTTTTAGATTCAAGATATTGGAGGTTATATAGTTTATGATAAGAATGAAAATGCCAAAAATATTCTTCTCTTTCATCATGTAATGGCCTCAGCTACTAAGGCTATAATGTGTTGACTGTGCATTCAATTACTCAAGTGTCAGCTGTCAGTTTTCGAGTGCTGTCCACTGTCTCTTCCATATTTTTTTTTCAATATTTATTATTTGTAGAAAATTCCGCTACTTTATGTTCAAATCCGCTACGCCGCTACCGTCGAGTAAAATCCGCTACGGTTGGCAACTCTGGCGTTCACAATAGCATTCAATTTTTGTTTGTTTCCTGTCCCGTTGTGAATTATATTTTTGAGTTATGATAGAAATTAGTTTAGTGTTTCTTCATTATTCTGCGAATATATCATCAATGTAACGCAGCCACAGTATGGTTCCACGGCTGCTTGCTCTAAGGCTCTTTGTTCCGAGTTTTTCTGTAAATTTGACACCAGCGGATGGAACGGGCTGCGCATTGCCGTACCATCCGTTTGTTCGTGATAAACACCCATTGGAAATACGTCGATGATAAACAATGAGCGAACAGGATATGTCTGTTGGAAATACTTCACCAATTAGCCGTATAGTATTTTTGACCGAAACCATTTTGTACAAGCTCACTAGTATGTTTCCTTCATATTTCTCTTCATATCTCTAATCTTTTCGATGAAGTGTCCCGAGTCTTTGATAAATAACTGTTTTTTTTTCTGTGAGCGGCTTCGATAGAGACGTCAAGTATTTGGCCATCTCATAAGTTAATAAAACACAGAGAAAATTTCAATAGAGAGGGAGATGGAATTATTATAAATGCACAAATATAATGCCATTTGATCCAACCAACAGAAACGAAACCATGCTCACCAGCAATGGAATGGAACTGGAGACAAATTCCAATTATGTAGTTTCTGCTGTGAGAACAACTTAAGCCTTCCGTTCGTTGCCTCATAGCTTTTGATAATGTCTTCAGCAAACGTAGACGAAACGCCAGGCATAAACACCTGCAGATCACGGTAAAAAAAGCTGGAAATAGCTTTGATTCAGTAACCTCATATATTATACTATTTTATTGTTCTTAAATTGTTTCCTTGAAAATACCCTCAAATCGTCAGATTTTCAGCTTGTAAATAACTCATCATAGACTAATCTCGAATATTTTGAACTATCGATTTTCTTCACTATTTTAATCAGCTGCAGTACACGTGCAGCTCTAGAGAGATTAGATATGCTGAAGGTATTCATGAGGGTGCATGGTAACCCTCCGTAAGTTAATTTGCCGCGCTTGAATAAATAACCAGAATTCCCTTCAGGGCTCCCCTATCATAAAATAGTGACCGGTTGCGGAAAAATACAATAAATACTGGAATTTTTGGCAATTTATATACAGATACATATTTCTTACCTTCTGACTTTTGTGTTCTTGAGAGTACATGAAGCATCCTGTTACAAGTACCACAGTTACAAGGACACATCCCAATATGAGATTATCAGTATCCACTTCTTGAGTTGTGAATTTTCTAATAACAAAGGAAGCAAAACATAGGAAGGCACCTATCCACAGAAGTATCGAGAATCCTAGGAACAAAAAAGATAATTATATACAATCGGAGAATTCGTGATCACAGAACAGCAAAATTATTCTTGTAAAAAGATATCACAATAATTTGAATGATGAATGGACTGACTCGTTACTTGATAAAATTAAATGACACTATCCATGATAATTATCAAACAATTTTCACAAACATATTTTGTTCCTAGACGCGTGTTACTTACACCGTAACTTTCTCGGTAGCTACGGTGTTAGAGAAACGTCTCTAGAAATAAGAAATGTTTGTGAAAAATAATTTGAAGATGAAAAATATCCACAGGAGTTATTAACTTACCTAATAAACCTAGCAATAATCAATATGATATTATTGTAAAGCATAGGCAACAGTCACGTTTTCAAAATATATCATAAAATGATATTTTATCATGCATTTCGATTCGTAAAAACATTCTCAACAATAAAGCTCATCTCACATTTCTACCTTGAGTTGAAAATGAGCGACTTATGTGGAAATATTTCTTTCTTCCACTAGTACAAAAAATTTCTCTGTTTTGGCGAATAAAGAGCTATGAAATATCGGGTAAATATTCAAGAACACCGTCTTCTTGACACTTCGTATTGCATTCAACACAATTCGGCCATCAATTCTATTAATTATTGTTTCAATATAATTTTTCAGTTCATCTATATCAATATGTTTTATTTTGTACACCTCATTTTTCAGAAATCTCCAAAAATAAAAATCTAAAGGTGACACGTCTGGTGAACGAGAAGGCCACTTAACAGGACCATTTGTAGCAATCCATCTGTTTCCAAAACAGTCTCGCAACATTCATTTTACGCCACCGAAATTATGTGCTGATGCTCCATCCTGCTGAAAGTAGATCATCTGACAAGTTTCCAGATTAAGATCATCGAAAAACTCGTTAATAAATGATTGTAACGGGATCCGTTCAAAGAAGTCCCTCATTTTCAAGAAAGGTGTTTCTTTTCAAAAAATATCATTTTATGAAATATTTTTGAAACGCGACTGTCAATTTTTTTTCGGCATCGAGAAAGCCATTAAAAATGCTACTATATAGTTTGCCAATTCAACCAAATTCGTAGCATCAATAATAACGGAGTTGGCAATGGTGCCGACTTAATTTTGAACCCTGTTTACCAATTTCGTAGAGCCAAGGAAATAAATCAGCTTCTGAACTGATGAAGTCGATCACATTGGTTTCTTCCAACAGTTTGGAAAACTGTGCCGGTTATTTTTGATATTTCCAGAAAATGTAAAATGTGAAAAACATATTAAGTTGTCGTTAAAGAGAATTCAAGTAAGTAATTCATAATCTAGACGATATTTCAAAATTTTTTTCTCCTTTTTTTCAAACCGTAAATATCCCGCAGAACGTTTATTTGCTTTGCCGAGCGTGTGTTTAGGTCAAGTTATTCTCGATTCTGTTCTCAACACCAATCGAATAATAAATCCTTTCAACGACCCTTTTCACTTTGTTTCTTTTACACTGATTACCGGTAACAAAGATTCCTTTACAAACCTGCATCCACATACGAATGCCGTTAATTCTAATTATTTTCACTGATTGAAATTAGGTAATTCAACTTCAATGCTGTAATTACATTAGTTTATGACTTGGCACCTTCTCAAAATACTCATTCAGATGCCTAGTCTTTCTTTGCCTGATAGAAAAATAACTCATATTTGGACGGTTTATAGATTTCCAGTCACTTTTTCACTATTAAATTATTATTGGTATGAAAAATCAAAAGACAATCGCGGCATTGATCAACGAACATTGATTATGTTACCTATAATAGTTACTATCCAATTCTTGAATTGAAGTGGTGAGTAATCATTGGTAAGTGATCATTGAGTGCGAGAATCATGTGCCCCAAGCAGAGGGATAGAGAAAGCATCATTCCACAATGGCCTCCAATAATCAGAATAACCATCTTAACAGAATAGTCTGGTTAGAGTCTTCAAAGGTCGAAGAGAAAATATCTATATTTCATCCGTTTTTCCTTCTATTTTCGGACGATATTCGTCTCACAAGGAGATGAAAACTCCACCACGAATATTGTCTTGATCTGATGGTCGAGAAGAACTACATCTAGCTTATTGGCTTCGTGATATTTTGAATGTAGTATAATGGGAGGTAAAGTAAAAAAGATGAAGCTAGTCAATAAGTTGATGTATGCTGTTCGTGTTTATGAAAACGTAATTGTAATGTATACTATATGTCACTGTTGATTTGGAAATGAATATTGGTCAAATACTATCCAGGGGTGCTTTACTGATCATTACATGCTTATATGAGCCTGGGGAGGTGGAATGAATAGTTCTGATAAATTGGGCACTTCTCAGAATGTATTTAATATCCCCTGGCTTATCCTTTTGTTGTCGTATGAGTGAAGTGATCTCTGCGACTTCAATGTGTACATTTTGCTGAACGGGTTCCAACTCGGCGACAGAGTTGTGATCAACTCGATCAGTGTCAAAAAATAAACCGAGTTCTTCAGATACTTGAATAGCTACCTTGACGAGAAATGCTAGAATTCCTGCTCCCTCTCAGTCGCGGAACATGCAGAAAATGGGATCCGAAATCCTGATGACTTTACAGGCTCCATCCAGTACCATTCTATCATGTAGATACTCCAAACTCAACAGTCCTCTCGGTGGTAGGGGGAAGTACAACCGTGGAACGGACGATTTGGGATGCAAACTCCTACGGAAATGCTTCATTTTTCGGGACTTTACTTCGAGTTGATACATCTCCTTCCAAGTCCACTTCACTAGTCCAAACGAGTGGAGTATGAATGGAATGGTAGGCATATTAGTAGCAGCAACTTCGTTCCTCGTCTACAGTTCCGAAGACCAGAGTTTGTGCTGATACTTGCCGCAGAGAGAGTTCTTCATTACCTTTTTCTCTTCTGAGTGGCGTTGTTCACCTCGAGGTAAATATACGTCTCTCTAGGTATCTAGATTACGTAGGATGCTTCCATCTACGAGCTGTAAATCCTCTCTGTAATCCATCCATCGTCCTCTTTTGAGATGAATCGTCTATTCCAAATTTCACACCGATAGTATGCGTGTACTCTTCCATCACCCTCAAGGACTAATGAAGATCATTTTCTTCATAGGCATAAAGAACGAAAGAGCATTCATATGAAATAAGTGGGTAAATCGTTATCCGGGAGTGCTACAGCTATATCTCCAAGTCTTTCCGAGTGCAACGGATAATGGCAATAGTGACATGCAGTAAAAGGGGACTGAGGGCATCGCCCTGGAATACACCTACTATGTTTGGACGCCAGCTTGACCACCATTATTATTATCATTAGTATGTGTCTAACTATCTGGTTTCTAGTTGTACTATTGATCATTTTGAAGGGAATGACGAACAGCCGATATACTGTTAAAAAAAGTGGAGATGGGGAATAGGTCTTATAGACTTACAGCAACGAACCATTGCTTATGCGTCATCACTATCTGACGCGATGAAACACATACTTTTTTATATCATATCCTCTTATTCTACGAGTGAATAACGAAGATAAAACAGTTAATGTTTACGATTAATCAGCGAACGCTTTTGTTTGGGTGATAACTTGCATTTCGAAAAGAGCTATACACACGTGAGTCGTCGGCAGTTCATTAGATTTTGATAGTGACTGATGACGTATCACTGTCTTTTGACAGTTGAATGTTATTTATTGTAAAGTTTCTACAAGTCGTTCATACTACACAAATAGTTGTTTTCACAACTAATGAACTGCAGACATTTCACATTTCATGGCAAGTGAATTTTATATCGTCATTATGAATTTGAATATCAAATTGCGAATGTTTTTGTTCAATGTCACGCATTGCCAAATATCGTATTGGAAATGTGAATATAAAATTAAATATATTTACTGAATTATTGATAAAGGCTGACTAATTCAATAAAATAGACCCAAAATCGTAGCATGTGAGCACCTTTCAGCGAATTTAATGAATGAAGGCAATTATTGACTGAAAGGTTAGGTTGTAAAGAGCATGTTACACGAATGTCGTTGTGTTTTCATAACTCAGTTGACTTATTTCGGATGCATAAATTGACTATCAAAATAAACAATGTACTTGTCTCTAGTTCACAACATCGACAGCAGATGAAGTATCGATTTTTTGAATTCCCTATATTTTTTCTTAAAGAACAAAACACAAGCACTACAGGAAAATCCTCAAGGCGCTCTTAGAGCGGTGCATGTCCGGAAGTAGTTTATTCCACATAAACGCCGTTCTCCAAATAAAAGAGTTCTTAAAAAGTGAAGTTCGTGCTGTACTGACGTGAAGAAGAGAGACAAATCTCCAACCTTTCTTCTATGTTCCAGACTATCAAGGTTGCAAGTGATATTCGCGTCTCCAATCAGATGGATGGCTCTTTTCTGGATGGAATCCAGCAACTTCAGGATATGTTCGGGGGCGGACCTCCGTACATGAGAACAATTCTCCAAAGAAGGTTTGATGTGAGCTTCATGAAGCATCAAAAGTTGCTCAGGTGTGTACAGTTTTCTGGTTCGGAACAGTGTTCCAAGCTTTTGAGAAGCAACCTTTGCAATTCCAGCGACATGATTGTGCCAAGACATATTGGTGTCCATTTCAACCCCCAACAAAGTTATCGAAGCAGAAAGCGGAATTGTCTGACCTGACATTATACCACGTTCGGAAACTGATGCTTGGGCTTATGTGGCATTGAATTGAACTCCACCTCAATTCGAAATCACTCCTAGATCCTCATTAAGATATGCAACCTCCTGATGTCGGTGAAGATGTGCATCCGCAGCTGATGTCCTGGAATCCAAATGTAATGACTTTGGGAAGCTGAAGAGCCATACACAAAAATAATCCAACAAGCCATAGCATCAAAGTTTGACCAGCAAACCCTCATGCCACACACGGTCAATGGTCTTAGAAATATCAAGCGCAACAGCTCTTGACTCTCTATGTTTCTCGATTGCGTTATTCCAAATATGAGTGACATACGAAGGAAGGTCGCCTGTTGATCTTTGTTTCTAAAGCCATATTGATAATCGCTCAAGATATTGAAGCTCTTCAAATATTTGATGATAAGGTGGTTTACGGCTTTCTCCATTAATTTTTGATATCACTGATTGCAAAGCGACTGGTCTATATTTATTTGGAAGAGTTTTTTTGCCCTTTTTGGGAATAGGCTGAACGTGAGCAATCTTCCAACAAGAAGGAAAACCCCTTTTCTTGTAAGATAGGTTGAAAATTCTGCAAAATACTATAACTATGTTCTGATAGTTTCAAGTTCATTTAAAAGTGTTGTTAATTATTAGATACTTTCCGTATTATAGTAAAAATAGTTATAATGGCTGTATAAGTAATGCTAAAGAAAGACGATTGAAGCGGTTCTGTTTGTATTGTGAAAAGACGAAATAATTACGACGAGATGGTAAAGAGGGCAGGTATGCTTCAGTTTTTTAAATCAATGAAAAATGAACGCTAAGAGAAAAATAAAGGTAAAGAAGAAAATAGAAGAACTTGAAGTGAGAGAAAAGAAAAAAGATGTTGCTGATGATAATAAAAATATGCGAATGAAAACAAGAGAGAGAGGCATAAAAGGAACGGGAAGAACTGAAAAATAAATCAAATTAGCCTAGGACCTCGGTAAAAAATTAGTTAAACAGTGAGTATCAGACGAAATATTGAAGGTTCGGGTTGGAGCAAAAAATTGGTTTGACTGAGGGGAGTCGAAAACGCGTTGGTAAAGACCAAGGATGAAAAAGCAAAAAAATTGAACCATTGAATGAAGAGCTGAATAAATTGAAACACCAACTCAGTCATACTCCCATTTCTAGCCATTTGGCTCCTGAGCCCAGAACCCGGTTTCAACAAAGCCCTTTTACCCGCATTAGCAAGATCTTCGCGAGAAGTGGTTTTTCAGATAAAGTAGCACTGCGGAATAGAGAAGGATGATGAAAAATGAAATTTGGTGATATGAATCATTGTTACAACAACCTAAAAAAGGCAATGAATTTAACCCAATCAAAAAAAAATCAATACAAAACTGTGTGAGATACTCAAAATGACTCTCTAAGAAGAGCAATCCAAATTCTCGTTTATATTTGAATTCTTAAGTGACTTGTGAGAAAATAATTGTTACTTTGGATAACAAAAACCGAATCGTATTATGTCAACATTCTGAATGCTGAATTTATTTCATCATAAGTTGTCATACTTAAACTATTTATACTCACCCTGTGTTATTGTTTTCAAAAATTTTATGTACTCAGGCACTTTATGTGAAGGCGTTAGTGTATTTGGTCCAGTTTTTTCAAGCACTGCTGCTGCTTGCTGTGGTGTCAGACCATTTTCTCTATCAGTTTGAAGTTTTCTACATAGGTCGTCTGGAATAAGAAAATAACAATGTTGAAATCTTCTTCAATTCTGTCACGGATTATCATCTCTTCAGAATCATTCATTCAAGTAAATAGAAGGTATTAGAAGAAGGCAACTATATTTATAAAAACAAGAAGCCTATTTTTGAAAAGAGGCGAAAAAGAATACATGTTTTGTCATAATTGATTCTCAAGAACTGAAAGTCGGGAAAATTCGAAAATCAGTAACGATGGATTTAAATATGATTCCAAGGAGTCCTATTCTATTTGTAATTTTCATGAACGACATCTTAGATATTTTAAATAATGATGAGGCTACTATCACTAATTATGCCGATGACACAAATTTACTGGTTCCTAGCTGTAACTATCGAAATTTAATTACTAAATCATCCCATTTTGTCGAAAAAACACAGCACCGAATGCTTTCTTCGTATTGCTTCTCGCAAGAGGCACATAAATGCGAAATAATACTTCTATACGACCATGTGGCAAGAACTCCTGATGCACTCTCTACATCACAGTAAATGAAGAAAACTGAGCAAAACCTTGATATTATTTGATAGAAGTTGACGTGCTATTTTTGGTTTTGGCTCTCCTGGGCTCTTCCATTGGAATCATTGGACTTTGGTTTCGATGTCATAACTATAGACATAATTATAGACCGATTAGTCTTCTCAGCATTTTTAAAAAAATTCTAGAAAGACTAATGTGTAATAGACGCATTGTCAGGTCAACAGAATCTGCTACTACTCTTTTTGTTGATTTCATATCTAGAAATATGAACAATAGGAAGCACGTGGCGGGAATTATCTTTGATCTGTCAAATGTAAAATATTGGTTTTAGAGGAAATATTCTTGTCTGGAATATTTCATTCCTAACAAATAGACAATTCTTTGTAAAATTAGATAGTTTTGAGTCAGATAGATATTCAGTTGGTGTTGGAGTCGCGCAAGGTTCAATTCTGGGGCCATTGCTTTTCTTACTATTTCTCAATTACCTCCCAATAAATGTCAATAGACGCTTTTATCTCATCAATTTTGCTGTTGACACATTTGGTATAGCTGAATCATCTATGGAGGATATGATTCCATCGGTTGAACTCTTTATTAGTGAAATGGCAAAAAATTGTCATTCCAATAAACTGATACTGAATGCACAGAACACAAAAATTATATTTCAATAAGAACAATCTGATCGATAGTGAAGTCCTTCAGACACATAACTCCACTAAGTTTCTGGGTGTAATGATTGACAAATCACTCTCATGATCTGAGCATATTGAAAGTTTATCAAAATAACTCTCCAAATCTAACTTCGCAATTTTGCAATTGAGGTATAAACTTCATGAGACTATTGTTATCCAAGTTTATCATGCATTAGTATATTCTGCATGATCATTTCACATCATGTTATGGGGAAAACTACCGAAATAAAAAGGATATTTGTCACACAAAAACCGATTGTTAGATTAATGTTCAGCGTGAAGCTACGTGATTTTTGCAGGGAACTTTTCAAGAGTAAGATGATTTTGACAGTTTGCTGCATTTACATATACAAATTTTGCTTGCACATTAAAAAACATGAAAATGAGCTGAAGGAAAACAATTATCACCACCAATATTGCACTAGAAACGCTACAAATTTAATAACAATGACTCACAGAACATCCGCATTTGAAAAATCGCCAACTTATGTTGGGGTAAAAATATATAATAAA